GATTAGAAGCACCTGTCGCCCTGGTCAGAATTTTGTTTTTAATATAGGTGGTGGGGGTCAAACTCTGATCTTTCAGGCATGTTAGTTAAGCATCTTACTTTTATGCTAGCCCTCTTTTTAAAAATCAAAAGTGCAAGGTGTGCTCCACTGAGAGGTAGGTGCAATCATCTTGTGAATGCTCCAGTTGAGGAGATTGAGGTGAGGCATCCCAGCAAGGAGTACAGTGTTTTAAGATCCCACTAAGCCCTAATGGCAGGGCTGTTTCCATGATTGCTAGCAGCCTCCTTTACACTTCTCCGTGCACTTTGGCACTGAGAGCAATATGTAATAGACACTCTGTCCACCCATTCATCCCCCTAGCGCCTGCCATGCTCTAGGCACTGCGGTATGTAGGCTTGGCCCTGACCTCAAAGTACCCAACATCTAGTTAGAAGATAGGAAGCTGTTAAGCAAATGAATGAGTACGTGAATGAAGGAGTGGATGCTAAAATCCACCTTCTATTTATGCTTATCTTTAAGCTCAGGTATACTGACAACCTTGGTTGTTATGTAGCAACTTTCTCCAAAGCTCAAAACTTGTTAAAATCTAAGAAGTTATAAAAGAGATTTGTTAAGCCTCAAAAACAGTCTTGTTCTTTAAACAAAAACAAAAACAAACAAAAAAAATCTAAGAGTCAAGAAGTAAACAACCTGGGATACTCAAATACTCAAAACGTCCCTAAAACTAACTAGAAAACAAAACTCCCACCGCCAAGAACTACTAAGGAAACAGGCCAACTGAACTGCCTAGAACAGACAGATCAGTCGGGCTGCTTAAAAGAAAGATCAGCTTAGTTGCCCAAGAGAGTCATCCTGACCTGCCTTCCAATCACACAGTTAGCTGGGAAATTCCAGCTTCCCTGAGCTGCCACCTGTGCTGGTGTGTACTTTCTGTGATGCCGCAGCCCTGGAGTCAGACCCACTCCTGTGAATAACCTCCCATCCTAGACTCCTGCAGTAACTGCTTCACCAGTTGGGACTTTGGTCTAGGGCAAGCTTCCCAACTGGGATGAGTAGGTGTTTGTTCAGGTCTCTCCAGGAATAGCGTCGACGACACAATATTGGTATTCTCTGAGTTTCAGAATCTGTGTTTCTAGGCCCAGCCTCAAACATTTAAGCGATCTTTATTCTCTCCTGTCCAATATCTGGGACTTAATGTCTCCAACCTGCACATTAACTGAACATGCCCAGTCCTCCATTATTGCTTCCTAACAACAGAATTTACAAGGAAAAAAAAACCCTAACAAATAAACAAACCACAAATCTAAGAAGTCATTGCTGATGGTTTATTGCTTTAAGGAGAAAAGCTGTAAACAAAGAATTAGAACAATGAGAACCCATCATGGGTGAACAAACACATTCCCTGCTACACAAATCATGAGAAAAATGAGGAATGTGGTAAAACAGGACATGCTGCCCAAGGGCTATTTTTCCTCTATTAGAAAATTCAAAGGCATTTCTTAATGTGTATTCGCTTACAAAATGGAAGTAGGAATATTTAAATACTCAATCACAGTTTGAAAATAGATACATACACACAAATACAAACATACACATACCTATGTGTAGACACATAGCTAATCATAGCCTTCTGCTTCTCAGCCATTCAGGGCTGTCCCTGTGGTTCCTTTGAGTCAAAAACAAGTCTTTAAAAAGAAATGACATAAGTCAACACCATAGTCATGGTCTCCACAATCTCTATGCATATGTAATCCAATATTAATTAGGGTGGTTACAATCAGTCATATCATTTGAAATTACTTTCTTTGATCAACCTCTAATCACCCTCAAAATTAGGATTTCAGCACCAGTCTGTGAATCTCTTCTGCTGTCAGAAGAGATGGGTGTGTCACATGATCCTGGGTTTTAGTTGCTTGTCTGCAGTGCCCTGGTTGGTAAGAACTTGAGCAAATTACTTAACTCCTGGCAACTTGGCTGTTTTGGCCCTAAAATGGGCAGTGGCAATGCCTTAACTCCTGGGCTCATTGAAAGGATGAAGTAGGCTATATCAGTAAAGCACTGAGGAGCAGTTGGTGCATGCTCAGGGATCTCCAAATGCTAATTTTAGTAAGCTGTGGGTCCATGAGATCAGGTCTCTCTCTCTCATGAGTAAGCACAGCCAAGAAATTCACTTTCTGCCACAATGGACTTCTTCACTGAGGGTTAGCTCACCCTCATTGCTTCTTTCCTTTGTTTCTAAGCTTTTTTTGGGGGGGAGGTGGGGAGGGAATGCAATCTAAAGACTTGCTCATGTGAGCCTCCAGTAGTAGTCATTTAGACTCAGTCTAGATCTCTTCCTCTGGTAGAGCGGAGTAAGCATAAGGCTGCTCAATTCCTTTGAGCTTCAGGATTTCTATTTATTGAATAGAGATAGGTTGTATATTGAGCACAGCTTTGCTCATTGGTAACCTGATAAAATGCACCACTGTGCTTAGCACCAAATCAGCTGCCAATAAATGGACTTTAGTTTTTTAACTGTAATTGATATGCTTCACTTTCCTTGAACCAGGCCACACCATTACACACTGTTTGTGATTATTAGAAAGAGCTTCTTTATATTGCCTCCAGGTCTTCTTTCCTGGGACTTTCAAGGATGGTTCCTCTGGTCCTGATGTTAGCCAGGAACATTTCTCAATAACAACCTAGCTACTGCGGCCACCCTTCTTCCTATTCCCAACAATCACCCTAACTCCTCTAGCTGAGCCTCCTTTGATTGAGGATGCTCAGCTCAGTCCTCCAAATGAGGGTGGGTACCTGGTAAGACCCTAGCTATGGCTTCTATGAACGTTTTACAGAGTCAGTTGTTAAGACAGGCTTTTACAATATAAGAAAACCTAACGTCATCCACTCAAAACTGACACAAGTAATAATGTTTAGGGGTAACTTATCGTTACATACAAGGTAACTTATTATTACATGTATATTATATGTACACATATGAGCATACATTTACTCAAAACACTAAGCCTAATTTAAGAGAAAATTTTCACTGGTAAGGTGAGATATTGGAAAAAGAATGTTTCTAAGGAAAAACAGGAGTGTATTTATAATGTATTTTCTTCCTTAAATACATTTTGAGCACCGCAGTTTGCCTTGCACAAGGCCCGGCCTTTGGGAGGTTGCAGGAAGGAATGGAAGTCCTACTTAAGAATCCATTTGTGTATTGTGTGTTGTTCTTTCACAGTCATCTTCTCATCACCCCACATGTGGTGCTGGGAAAACAAAGTCATTGTATAAATGCATGTTGTAAGCTGGTTCTAATGTTAGGGCAGGAGGAGCAACAGGGAATGCACATGCCTTTTTTCTGTCTAGTTTAGCCTGGATACCTTGTACCTAGACACACTCTTCTCTTGTGGGAAAGGAGCCAAAGAGACAATATTAATAGGACAAGTTGCTGACTTCAGTATACTTTCCTGCCCTGATATGTTTGCAAGGTCCAGAAGCAAAGGGGAAATATGAATTATGAAGTCAATCTATCTGGGATGTGAATCTCCAGATGGGTGACTTTGAGTTTGCTGACCTCTTTGAGCTTCCATTTCACAGTGTCAAGAACAGAAATCATGAAGGGAACTCTTCAATGTTATCACAAAGCTTCACTGAGTAAATACATGGCAAGTATTGAGAGCAATGGGCAGCACGTAGAACATACCCAATAAAAGAATGGTGACAGAAAAATCTTAAATTCTACTACTAAAATAAATAACAGCCTCATTAACACTTAGGAGAAATCTCTTTCTTTAGTTTACAAACTCTTTGGCTTTTACTACTGTTAAATAGATCTCCATTTTGAGTTACAGCTGGTCAACGTCTATCTCCAGACTAGAAAACTGAGTGATTTTTGCTCCACAGACACTAAGGCTGTGAAGCAGGTCATGGAAACAAAAGAGATGTGTCCAAGAACAATTGTGGCCTTACCACTGCTGTCAGAGGCCACCCAGGCCACTGACCCACTTATCTGACACGTACACCCTGCTAGGTCTGGTTTGGACTTCAAAAGAATCTCCTGAGGCTCATGGAGACATCTTTCTCCCATGATCACACTCTTCCGAGGTACTGTTTGAGAGAACAGACAGGTTACCTCAAGGTCCCTACCAACTCTCATGAGCCTTAGGGCAAGGGAGACCCAGAGTTAGCTAACTGTCCTAAGAACTTGGTCAACAGCAGATTCAGTGACCTGATCTGATGTGGCTTGTGAGGATGGCTGGCCTTGCCCCATCCCAGGAAGATGAATTGGGGGCTGCTAGCAGTCATCTGCCAGCAAAATAAAATTTCTCAGATTACATTTCTGATTGACCTGAATCTAATTTGAGCCCTTCCTACTTCAGGGGGTGAGAATAGAAATTTACTCTCAATTAATGAAAGTGGCTTTATATCGCAAATCTAAATGGCATAATTATTGACTTCACCTGGAAAATGTTTGGTGATCTTGTGGTACACCAATCTTTGGAACAAGAGCACTTTTGGTGTGTTGTGGGTAGACATACCCCTGATAATATCATTTGGCAAGGCCCAAATAATAGCTTACTCCTGTGTCCTCAATCCCATCCATCTGTCTGAAAGAAACCCAACACCTTCAGGCTTAGCATCTGAAGAAGGAGTCTGTGATACTGGTTCTTCACCTGGTTCTTTTCCATGGGTAGTCTCATCGGGATTTCTGACAACTTGCACAGGCTGGTGCCAGACTGGCTGTGTCAGGCTTGACATTCACTGTGAAAAGTCAAAGATGTGTTTTCTTTGGAGTGATGTAGAATGTCCCCCAGGAGGGACCCATTGTCTGAGCCCAAGCAGCACTCTCCTGGGCCATTAGGATGATCAAAATAGGAACAGAGACTTAGGGTCAGGATCACGCAATTCAGAATTGAGTAGGAAGCAGATGAAATAAGGCACAACTGTGAAGTCCTGCTTTACAGAGGACTGGCTGCTCTGCAAACGTGGAGTTTTACCTTGAGCCACAAACCTACCTAATTGGCAATCTCTGAGAAGTCGGGGTAAGATTCCAAGTCAGCGAAGATATCATTAGGATTCCTGCAGCTCAGGTTGCAGAAGCAAGCATTAATCCATAGGACCTGACGGGAGAAACCAGGCCCCTCTGGACACTGGAAATCGACGTTGATGGTCTTGGACTTGTAGGGTATGCAGCATCTGTTGTCAGTACAGACTCCACAGTACTTGGGTCGGTAGGTGCGAGTGCTGACACAGCCTGCGAGAGTGAAGTTTGTGGCCTCCTCTGGCTGGTACACAGCCAGGCACTTCTTCCCTGTCTTCAGGAAAGGAAAGGGGCCTTCTGTTAGGACACTCTGGTAATGCACAGCCACCTTGCTCTCACCAAGCACCCAGTCCTCCCTTCCCATTGCTGTCCATGGCAAGCGTCACCTTTGCTCCAGATTTGCAGCACCTTCAGGCAAGGAAGGGCATCAGCAAACATGAGGCAGTCCCATATGACACAGGTAAACCAAGGACTGCAGAACGGATGCTGAGCTAAGATCTCACAGCCCTCAGTCTCCTTTCTTTCCTCATGTTTTGCCTTTATGGTACCCACATGTCACGGTCACCAGCACAAAAAGGCTAACCAACCTCCCCAACTAGCAAGTGGCTGAGCGGTCATGGAACTCCATGGTTAAGCATGTTGTGCTCTCACCTGTCCCCTTTACCCCGCTGCCATCTCTCTCACAGACACATACTATCATCATACAGCATTTTCAATAGCACTGACATTGAGGTTGCGGGTTCCTTGATACTTGGGCCTCTTCCTGTAGTTCATTAATATAACTGTGAAGCTAGTATACAGGAGGCACTTACTAAATGTGTTGGGATAGTATGAGGTTCTGTTATCAATACCATAGCTGGGCTCAGAGTCCTCACATTGCTCAGGTTGCTGTCCTGTGCCTATGCAGGTAGGTGTGGGATGTCATGGCAATAAAGATGGTACAGGTCCTTCAGAATCACTACAGAAAGAACACTTTGAGTGGATCCTAATTTCTCCTCGGAGTGACCTTACTTTTGATAGGATAGGAACTACAAAAACATCCATTCAGCGAAGTCCATTGACCAGCCTAGCGGCTCTATTGCCAAGCATGTCAGGCAACTTTCATTATTTCCATCTTATGAATGACTCCCAAGAAGTACGTTGGCCAGGCTCAAAGCAAGCTATACAGGCTCATCATGCCTATACCTTCTCAAGATGCCTACCTCTTCTCTGGACTTACTTTGATGTGTGGAAGGATGTCCATATCACATGGCCGCAGGTTGCAGAGGCGACTTTCCTGCTCTGGCCAGCACCGGGCATTGACGTTAGAGATCCGAGTTGAGATGCCTAGGCCACAGGTGGTTGAGCAGGGACTCCAGGGGCTACTGTAGGCTATGCAGTTCCCGTGCCATTGCTCCACTGTGCCCGAAGCTGCTATAGAGGGACAGCAGAGTGCCCATGAGTCTGCAGCCTCCGCAAGCTCACCTCCTGCCCTCACCATCATTTTTTTTTTCTGACCAAGAGATGAAACATGAAATCACATTCTAAAACAAACTAAGTGCCTTTGGAAGAGCAGCAAGCGCTCTTAAAACTGGAGCTATCTCTCTAGCCCCTGAATCTCTTCTTAAAATGTAAGGCAAAAGAAACCCTTCCTCCCTTAAATTGCTTTTCTTCAGGTATTTGGTTACAGTAACTGGAAACATAAGCAATACAGTCAACACCTACGAGCTGTGTGATTTTCACTAGCTCCTGCTAGGCCTCAGTCTTCCCATTAGAAAAATTCTTCCTTGTAGAACTACTGGACAATAATGTGGATATTGACTGAGTTTATGCCATGCATCCGCAAATCACTGAGCAGAATATGTTAAAAAGACAATGTCCATCCTAGAGCCCCTCAGAGATAAAGTATATATGTGAAAGTTCAAAGGTGAGTCCCACATCCTAGCACCTGAGATTCATCTTAGTAATTTCAGAACAGAGTATCTGAAATGACTGTGTCCATAGGCCCCTGGATTAATCTCTCAGCGCTGGACTAGTTTGCAAGTTGTGTGACCCAGTGAGCTGGCACACACCTATAGGCCTCAGCTTCCCTATGCCAAAGGGGTTGAGAACAGCTTTCCTAGGCCTGGGGTCTGAGAGGACAGCATCACACATGTGAAAGTGCATCAGGGGTCCCTAGGTTAGTGAGTCCCAGTACATGCCAGCTGATACAGTTACTTGATTATAGGTTCATTGGATTATTTGCTCTTGCCTGGTCTTGTGAACATACAGAGGCACAGCATCTGATGGGTACATGATTAACTAGAAGTGAGCAGGGAAGAGTGGTGAGCTATGGTGGGAGGCAGGCAGATTGATTGCAGGCAAGGCAGAACAGCCCCCAGAAAGTCGGGGCAGAAAGACACACAGAGAAATCTCACCTGTGTATCCACAGGAATAATCAATGTAAGAAAAGGAGAGAGAGACAGAGACAGAGACAAAGACAGACAGAGAGAACAGAGACAGAGACAGTGAGACCGACACACACACAGAGAGAAAGAGGTTGAGGGAAGGGGGATGGCAAAACAGTGAGAGCAAGGACAGACAAGGTAATCAAGGAATGGAGGAAGGAAGAGAGAAAACACACAGGGCATATGAGGAATCTATTTGGGGTAACATAGAGCTCATACACCTGGAGCTTGCAGGTATGTAACAAACACTGTTGATAAATGAATTTAGGAGTGAATTTGAGATAGAGAGAGCACCCACAGAAAGAAGAGTGAAAGCAATTTAGACATCCAAGGACAGAGGTGGGCAGTCTGGGGTGAGCTGTCTGGGAGCATATAGCAGGCTGGTAGGGAAGGATTTTCATGGGAGGATGAGAGGATCAAAGGGCTTTGGCTTCTGGGTCTCCTCAGTACAGCTGCAGGGGCTGTACTTGGCTAAGAACTGGGTTACTAGGTCACACACAATGGGCAGGCAGCCTCTGCCTCCCTCCACCACCCAGTGACTCTTGCCTAGATATGCTGATGGGAGGAGCTGCCTTGAGCTACCAGGGACCAAACTTTCCCTGGTACTTGCTCTCATCCATGCCATACTTTCTCTCCATGTGGGAGATTTTGCTCCCTACGTCACATTTGTTAATGTCTAGAGTTGTTCCAGATGGTCACAACTTGGGGAGGTGCTTCTGTCATCTAAAGGGACTGGCTAGGTATGCTGCCAGACCAGTAATGCCCTGGCCCCCCACCAAAAAATATCCTTCTAATCCTAAGTGCTTCCAGCACCAAGGCCAAGAACCCAGCTCTGCAATTGGACTTTTAAAAAACATTAGCACCCCAAAAGCACAGTGTAAGCAGTCTTGTCTTCTTTGGGGCCACCTGCCTCATTATGTCAGATTCTCCTGATTTTTTCATATTTCGCTGTCTTTCTCTCCATAGTTCCTGGCCTCCTCTGTCGACTCCTCAAAGGTCAGGATCTCTAAACCTCTGCTCCAGGCTCTTATGTCTCACTGTGTGTGTTATTCCTAGCCACATCAACTGCCAGCAGAGGCTCTATGCAGAGCTCTCTTCCTATATGACCCTCTCTGTGAGGATGCCTTCATTAGTCATTTCTGCCCCTAATCCCTTCTCAAACTCAACCCGCTCATGCCAGGCAGTTCGCCGTCACCCTAAACATGCTCCTTCTCTTTTATTCTCTCCTGGATAGTAGCCAGCCCCAGGAATCAACCTGCATTCTTCCTGCCATCCCATGCACAGCACAGATGCCAGGTCCTGAGCTGTACTCCAGCACTGCCTCCTGCCCTATCCTTTCTTCACTTTTGTCCCCTCTGCCCTAGTTAAAGAAAACAAACAAACAAACAAAAAACCCCAAAAAACTAACTATGCATTTATTTACTGTCATCCAACCAGACACCATCTATCTATATGTATCCTCTATCTATCCATCTAACACCCATACATTCATTATGTTCATTCTATCTATCTATCTATCTATCTATCTATCTATCTATCTATCTATCTATCTATAGTTTTATCTATCTATCTATCTATCTATCTATCTATCTATCTATCTATCTATCTATATTTTATCTATCTATCTATCTATCTATCTATCTATCTATCTATCTATATTTTTATCTATCTATCTATATTTTTATCTATCTATCTATCTATCTATCTATCTATCTATCTATCTATCTCATCTAACTTATTCCATATATCTGTTTTTCATCCATCCTGTAACCATTTACTCTCCATGCATGTATTGATTGATTTAGATAACCATTCATCCATCCATTTTCCATGAATCTATCTACCTCATGTTATCCATCCATCCATCCATCCATCCATCCATCCATCCATCCATCCACTTTTTTCCCACTCTCCAACCATTTCTTCTCTATGCACCTATCCATATATCCATACATTGATGGGGCAGCACACACACTTACAGACACACACACACACACACACACACACACACACACACACACACACCTTTCATCCACCTATTATCTATTCACTCATCTATTGAGCTACCTATAGACAAACACCTATGTGGCTCCTTCTGCAAACATCAGTTGGATACTTTCCAACTATCTGTCGAGTGCACTGAGCTCCAGTAGGCAATCATGAATAAACCATGTCTCTGCCCTCCCTTCCAGGGCTTTCTCTTCTCAGGCTTACCTAGCTAGAGCCTCATCTGTTCATCTGACCATAACAATGGAACCCTTGAGTTATCTGGAAGATCCCTGGACTCCTTTCTATGTCCTGCCACCTGTCCCTCTTTCTAGGTCCCTACCCACTCTCTGAGAAACTTTATTAAGATAATAGAGGACTTCATATGTCACACTAGGGTTTGATGCTTGGAGCATCCCATTAGGCAGTTAGGAAAAAAAAATGGTGTCATTCGCATTTTACAGATGGGGAAAATTTGGGTCCCAGACAGCACATCCCCAAGACCATATAACTGGTGAGTTATGGAGAGGGTAATGGCCTGGGGGTTTGATTTATAAAGAGAAAACCGGGACTTTAGGGGCTCTGTGATATCCAGAGACTCTACTTGTCCCTGCCCACACTTACCAAAGGCTCTGGTGTCCAGCAGTGCAGTCTGGCGTGGCCGCCTTGTGTCATCGTCACACACCCACTGCTCACAGCACTGGCCGGGCACTCTCACATGCCGGGGATGGCGGCACCAGAGGCGTGGGGGCCTGGGGCTTAGGCACAGTGGTGTGCAGCCCACTGTGCCATCAATGCAGGTGCAGTTGTACCTGCAGTTAGGCTGGAAGGACTCGCCGTTGCTGTAGCGCACGCCATTCAGGAGGCAGCCCGTACCGACCACCTCTGCAAACATAGGCAGTAGACATGTCAGGCCAGGAGGTACGGGCTCTGTGCCAAGTTACTTCTGTGCGGTTTCTCCCTGCCTAAGATATCATGCCAAGAAATCACTCATGCGAGGAAGGCGGGGCTGGCCATGTTTCATCTGGCTGCACCCCAAAGGCAAAGAGTGTGCTATGTGAAGAGGTAGAGCACAACAGGGAGAAAAGGAGAGAGTGTGAAGGTGTTTCATGACATCAGGGACAGCCACTGACAACCTTGCTGGATTTGGGGTGGGAGTATCCAATAAAGGAGCTCAGACATTTTCTCCCTACAAAGTTCCCAGAACCACACCTGGCACTGATGAGCCTCTGTCCAAGGAAAAAAGCCATACACAGGAAACCAGAAACTAGAAATGAAATGGGCTACCTTCCTCAGTAGTGACAGTAGAATCTGGCAGGAGCTGGCAACCCAATACTGGACGGAATGATGACGGGCTGGTCCTTGAAGATGTTATGATAAACTAGGAAGATGGTTTTCTGCAGTGTTTATTGATGGTGGCAATAAACTGGTGAAAAGTGTTGAGGGATAATGGAACAGGGAGAGGGTGCTGGGTATAGACATGGCTGTAGACTGAGAACAGGTGGATCAGGTAGGTCCTGTGGACCTGAGAGGGCTTTCTGCCTGTCTTCTACAAAAAAACAGAACAAGAGAAAGGCAGCCTAGGTGACTCTTTCAGGTAGGGAGAACATTTACCGTAGGCGTAAGAGCCTGATAAGGGAGCAGGCCTGGGAGGTGAGAGGGGGGGAAGCAGAAAGTGAAAAAGAAAAGAGAAGGGTGAGACCAGCTTCCTGTCTCAGAGGAAGGTGTAGAACTGTTAGTATCTGTAACTCGGGCTGGCACTAGTAGGTGTTCAACAAGTAACTTGAATGAATGAGATGAATTACAGGCTTCACAAGAAAACTTGTGGTACTGAGCAGACAATAGGCTGGAGAAGGCCACCTCAGTGACCCAGGCAGAGGTTGGTGGCCTCTCAATCCAAAGCAATGAGAAAACTCAGCTCCCAGGCACATTAGCTAGGAGTTGCAAAGATTCCCAGGAGTCAAGGAAGACTTCCAGCACTCTGTACTCAGGCCCAGAAAGTGAGATCCTCCTTCCTGTCTAGAGGATCTGGGACTGGTGCAGGCTAGCTTCAGAGTCTTCATTAGACATGAGGTATACATGGTGGAGTTAGTTATGCAAACTGGCCTTGTGGGGATTAGGGGACTACTGGGCCATTTTCTATCCATGGTTCTGTGTGCTCCTACGGGATAACATCTGGAACTATAGGCAGAGGGTCTTGGAACAGCCAGAAAGCCCACAGAGGAGGAGCAGTGAGAAGTCTGCTGTTTGCAGTAACTCTGTCCTGTCTCCAGGAGTGGTGGGGCTGGTGGCAGGTGATAAGCATCAAAGCACCTGGCAGTAGCAAAGACTGTCAGAACCAGGGTCTCCACTGTGTGTTTCTTGGTATATTTTGTTTTGTAAGGAAATGCATTGTCTCGTACAACAAAACAGCCTCATCAAGGATACATTGCTATGCAAGCTGGCCAATGGGAAGCAGTCTCAAGGGTATACATCTCTCTGTTGCTACCATTTTCTGAACATCCAGGAAGCAGGTACAGCATGCACTGACATAGCTTCTGGTCCATGATCTCATTCAGGTCTCCCGATGATGACTTCATCAGGAGAGCTTTACCTACTTCCTTAGGGACAGGAGAGGTCTGGGAGAGGAAGGGATTTGGAGGCTCAAAGTGCTGGTAAATGACAGAGTGGAAATACCAGACTCACAGACTCTTTCCTTCTACCTGACACAGAAGAGGAGGTTGATGAGGGGAGAGGAAGGAAGACTATCAGGCAGAGGAAGAGGAAACAGGAAATAGGAAACAGGATGGGAGGGAAGCCTTGAGTTCTGCATCCTCAGTCATCCTGACACTCATTCAAACTCCAGGAAGATGTATATGTGCATATGTGTGCATGTGAGTGCGTGTACATGTGAATATGATATGTATTTGCTTACATGTGTGTATATGTGTGTAGGCAGATATGTGCATAAGGGCAACTCTTTCTCTCTCTGTGTGTGTGTATTGGTGGTGAGAAGGCTGAAGATCTTATTTCATTTTCTGCTTTAATGTGTAAACGCAACAGCCCCAGGCTCTGGAGTCCGTGGAAAAGCATCTTCCATCTTCCTACAGGAACTCACAGAACAACCCAGGCTACATAGCTTTTAGACAGGCCTAGATGCTGGGACACTGCTTTCCTCAGCCTTGGTATTCTTTACAGCTTTCCAGCATACTAAACATGCAATACCACTGCAATACCATTGCACCTCAGAAATGCTATCTCTGTAGACTGGTTAAAGGGGACATATGGGCAGCCGATAAACCTGCCCCACATAGACCAAGGGGAGAGTAGGGTATGTGATGACCATGCATTATCTATCAGCAGAGATGTGGCCCCCTCTTCACGTACACATATCCTTCCTGTTTTCCCAGGGGACTGGTTTTGGGTGAGGGGAAGCAGCCAGCTCCTCTCCAAACACGCTTGAAAGTTTAGATGAGACCTGGTCAGCCTTCTTATAGCTAAAAGACTTGCAGCATCCAAGCCACCATACTCCTTTACTGAGATGTTCATGCCTACCACCATCTGTGGCCTTGAGTGAGTAGGAACATGACTTGGGCCCTGTAGCCTCGCCTTCATATTGCACTGAGTCAGTGGGCAAATGGGTGGATAGGTGATGGGTAGATAGGGGCACACGTGTCAAAGCCCCTAACCTTCACAAGGTTCCTACTGTATCTAAGCATGTGACAGCCTGACTTTCCATAGAGGTCCTCACTATTCATCACATTGTCTTTATTGAGGACACTGAGGTTTAAAAGGTCCAGGGAATCTTATGAAAGAAGTGAGAGATAGTAAGACCTGGAGAGGACAGGAGCTCCACAAGGAGAACAACAGATCCAAAAAGTCTGGGCACAGGGGTCTTTTCTGAGACTAATACTCTAACCAAGGACCACTCATGGAGATGGTCTGGAACCCCTGCACAGAGGTAGCCCATGGTAATTCAGTGTCCAAGTGAGTTCCATAGTAATGGGGACAGGGACTGTCTCTGACAGGAACTGATTGGCCTGATCTTTGATCACCTCCCTGAGGGGGGAGCAGTCTTACCAGGCCACAGAGGAAGACAATGCAGCCACTCCTGATGAGACTTGATAGACTAGGATCAGAGGGATGGGGAGGAGGACCTCCTTTATCAGTGGGCTGGGGGAGGGGTAAGGGTGGGGAAGAGGGAAGAAGGATAGGATTGGGAGGGGATGAGGGAGGGAGCTACAGGGGGGATACAAAGTGAATAAAAATAAAATTAAAATTAATAAAAATAAAAATTAAAAAAAAAAAAAAGCTTTGGGAGCTTGCCTAATGTCCCAGGACTACTTAGTGGCAGCACTGGAACTCCAGCTCAGGCTGTCTAACCCCAAGTACCATGCTGTGGTTTCCATTCCATGCTTTAGAAATTCATGGTAGTATGGTCTTGAAATGAGACCTTCCCCCTATCGAGGATAACAGTGGATGGGGCTATTATTTCATGCAAACAAAAGCCACAGGCAGCACCCTGTTTACCTCTCTCTGCACAAGGTTGATTTAATGATGATCCTCAGGTGTGTGGCCCAGGAGCATTGCAGGGAGAGGCAGAGCAGGGACTGAAGCCATGAGCCCATCGGCCTGTAAATACCATGTTCCCTTCACTGGACACTTTTGCCCTTGTGCCTGTTCCAGCTGCATGAAGGCAGTGTTTAGACAACTAAAATAGTGGAACCCTCTGAAGTAGAGGGCACTGTGCCCATCATCATGTTTAGATTGGCCTGGACAACCTTTTAAAAAGTTTCTTTGAATGTAGCTCTGGTGTTTACCAGTCACACACAAGCCTAGATTCCTTCACACAGCTGAGCAGACAAGGCAAGACTACACATGCTGTTCTGCCTGGCCTCAGTGGCCCAAGAAGTGACCACTGGCAGCCAAAGCTGGCATTTACTGGAAGGCCAAAGTCTCTTCTGAGCTCCCTATGTCCAGTGTGGCAGCATTCTGATGACTTGTTGTTTTACTCGCCTTGTCTTGGCCTAATTCTCTGCAAATCTCCAGACAGGTTTAGCTCATCCCAGGGTCCATCCAGCGGCTAAGCTGACCAAGTGCTGACGGGCTGTCTAAGAGGCTCTGTTTTCTTTGGTATCACCGCCTCTCTACACTTTCATGCCCCGCCTTGCTTCTTGTATTTGGGCCTCATGTAATTCTGGCATTACATCACCTCTGGGGAAATGCTTTTATATGTGTGTGTGTACATGTTTACATGTGACACATGTGTGTGTGCGCACACCCCTGATGCATATCTGTGTGAGTACTCATGGGTAAGAATGTTCCTGATGAAAGAGTCAAGTCAGAGTTGAAATAAAAATGGTTCTATGGAGGCTCCTTTTTGAACTCAATAATGGACTGTAACTCCTGCTCAACTGTATTCATTTCAAGATCTGCAAACCCCCATGGCCAGGAAACTCATGGCAAACACAAAAACCTACTGAATCCTTCCTGAGATCATGGATGTTTTATTTATTTTTCCCAAATGAACTAAAAGAAAATTCATCAAGGTTCCCGGTGGCAGGGAGCTAAGGGACTGTACTGGTTGGGCAGAGATGAGACCTGCAATTGGAAACTGTGAGTGTAGGGTGGGGATGGGGTAGTGAGCAGGAAAGAAAAATCTCTGGATCCATGACACAGTGTTTATGGAATGTAAGATCCCATTATGGCTTTGGCGATTAGTGTAATCACAGTGAACTGAGTTACCTTTCAAATGACCTTAAAGCTAGCTGCTAGCCAGGATAGGAATTACTATTGGTCACCTATGTCTGATGGGTGATTCTAGCACAGGGAAGCTAGCCATGTCTTCCTGGGTTATGGACAAAGGCAGATGACTGTTTATAATGTCAGTGTTGTGCACTTGTGACTCAAGGGTTTATGTAAACAGGTCTAGGATGATGCTTAGGAAACACATTTTAAATCAGTGCACTGGGTAATTATGTGCAGGTCATGGTGCAAGTCTCCCTTGAACAAGTTTTGTGGTATTAACAATAAATTCCAGCAATAAGAAAAAATCAGGAAGATGGGGGAAGCATGACATTTATTTGAGGAACCAAAAGATGAAAATCTAAACAAATGGAATAAGAGAAAGAAAGAAAGAAAGAAAGAAAGAAAGAAAGAAAGAAAGAAAGA